ACAATTTGTGGCTACGTAGCGTTGTGATACCCTCCTGGATCTTCAGGAAGCCGCGAGGTGGGGTGAGTTAGAGATTGAGTTGTAGTTGCGGGAGCAGCTTTAGGTTCTGACACAATCTTAGCTGGCACCTAAGCGGTCTAAGACTGCTGATACACGGACTGGGGGTTAGTAGAGTCACACTTGTGGAAAGTGTGGCGGGTGTCATTCTAGGGTTTGTCGAGCGGGAGGTGATTGCCACAAATGTGGCAAGGAGGGACATTATGCCAGGGACTATCATCAGTCCGCCGCTCCAACAGATATGAGGATTTGTTTCCATTGTCATCAGGTTGGTCACGTGAAGACCAACTGTAAGCAGGTCGACGTTAAACCGATGCAGGGTTCCGCATCGACTACTTTAAGGATTGGGGATGGGAGGCCAGTCAAGGTGGAGCCTCCGAAGGCTCAGGGGCGCTCCTTCCAGCTTACGGCCGACGAGGCCAAGGCAGCATCGGATGTGGTTGCTGGTATGTTTCTATTTCTCTGTTTCAGTTATTATATATGTGTTATTCTTATTGGTTGTACCTATGTTTAGGTATGTGTTTAGTAAATTCCTTGCCTGCTTTGGTATTATTCGACTCGGTGGTGAGTCGATCATTTGTATCTAAGGCTTTCAGTAGAGGGTTCAGTGTGTCGGTGGATGACCTTGAGTGTCCGTTGTGAGTGTCGATCGCCAACGAGCGCGGGGTTTCTGCTTCTTCGCTCTACCGGAGATGTGAGTTGGAGATTTTCAGGGTATCCTTCCCGATATACTTGATCCTTATTCCCATGAGGGAGGTATACATGATATTAGGGATGGATTGGCTCAGTCGATTTGGCGCCATGATCGACTTTGAGGGACAACGAGTAGTGGTTCGAACCCCAAGTGGGGGAGAACTCGTGGTATATAGCGAGGGCACAAGGATCGGATCAAGGTTTTGTTCGGAGGCCAGGGCTCGGCAGTATATTCAGCACGGGTGTGCCGATTATTTAGCATATGTGGTGGATACGCGGGATAGGGGGTAGCCCTCGGTCTCAGAGGTCCCAGTGGTTAGGGAGTTTGTTGACGTGTTTTCGGAGGAGTTTCCCGGAGTGACTCCAGAGAGGCAGGTTGAGTTCAGGATTGATCTAGTGTCGGGTGCGGCCCCTATCGCCAAGGCGTCGTACCGTTTGGCACCACCTGAGATGCAGGAGCTGTCATCTCAGTTGTAGGAGCTGTTGGGTAAGTAGTTTATTCATCTGAGTAGTTCACCCTGGGGAGCACCGATCGTCTTCGTCAGGAAGAAGGACGGTTTGCACAGGATGTGCATTAACTACAGGGAGTTGAAAAGTTAACGGTGAAGAACCGTTATCCACTCCCGAGGATAGATGGTCTTTTCGATCAGCTGCAGGGTGCATCTTGGTTCTACAAGATCAATTTGAGATCCGGATATCACCAGGTCAGGGTGAGAGAGGAAGATGTGGAGAAGAACGCGTTCCAGACTCGTTATGGTCATTACGAGTTCGTGGTGATGCCGTTTGAGCTCAACAACGTGTCGGTTGTGTTCATGGATTTGATGAACCGAGTCTACAGACCGATGTTCGATCGCTCGGTTATTGTGTTCATAAATGATATCCTGGTGTATTCCAAGACCCGAGAGCAGCACGAGGAGCATCTCAGGGAACTGCTGGAGGTTCTGTGGCAAGAACGGTTGTATGCCAAGTTCTCGAAGTGTGAGTTTTGGTTACGAGAGGTCCAGTTCCTCGGATATCTCGTTAACCAGGAGGGAATTATGGTCGATCCGGCCAAGGTGGAGGCGGTTATGCAGTGGGAGATTCTGAAATCTCCCTCAGACATCAGGAGTTTCTTGGGTTTAGTAGAGTACTACCGGAGATTCATTCGAGATTTCTCCAAGATTGCAGTACCCCTCACTCGTTTAACGAGGAACGGGGTGGATTTCCGGTGGGGCCCTGAGCAGCATTGGGCATTTGAGACCCTCCGGCAGTGTTTATGTGAGGCGCCGATGTTGAAACTCCCCGAGGGAGTCGAGGATTTTGTAGCATTTTGTGATGCATCCATCTCAGGTTTAGGGGTTGTCCTCATGCAGAGGGACGAGTGATAGCTTATGCATCGCGGCAGCTGAAGCCGCATGAGACGAGATACCCTACGCACGATCTGGAGTTGGGAGCGGTGGTTTTCGCTCTCAAGATTTGGATGCATTATCTGTACGGTGTTCGTTGCACTATGTATACTAATCACAAGAGTTTGAGACACATCATGGACCATCCAAACCTGAACATGAGGCAACGCAGGTGCTGAAGGCCAACATACCCAATGAGCGGTCCGGGGAGACTGTAGGCCCACATGGTGGCCCAGTCATGCCGAAGGCTCGGTATAGTTTCAGTTAGACTGTAGGCCCTGTAGGACGGTCCGGTTAGGCGCATGGCCCAGTGTGCATATTGATTGATTGATTATTACTGATATGATATTATCAGTGTGGTATTGGTATTTTGGGACTAGCTCACTAAGCCCTCGGGCTTACAATTTATAGTTATTGTTTCAGGTTCTTCGGGAGATCATGACAAGGTGAAGGCATGACCATACCGTTCCTCATCCTTATGATCTGACTTTTTGGGACACTCTGATTGAATAGTGATTTGAAAATATTTTTTGTAAACAATACTATTGGGGTTTTATTTATGATTGAAAATTTTAAATTTGGCATAAAATTTATAGATGTTACACACATCATGCAGTCAACTAGCATTCCACATAACACATAATCGATCTGCTTTAGTGCCTTCGACCCATTGGTATGGTGAGGAGACTCACCTCTTAAAAATGTTGAACTGATAAGATAAGATCCGATAAGTCCCAACACGTAGCTCCAACTCAACTGCCTACAAACGTCATGTGACTAGCTTGTCAAAATCCCGAAATACCAGAAATATCCTAATGATCAAACTTGGTCAACCATGGTCAAAGTTAAGGTCAATAGTCCATGTTGACCCGACTCGTCGAGTGTATCTAGTAACTCGTCGAGTTCCTCCAGTGTTCAAAAAACTAAGGAAAACCCTAACCAACTCACCGAGTTAATCGTCAGACCGAAAACGGGAGGAACCCGACCGAACTCGTCGAGTTGCCTTATCAGCCCGCCGAGCTTACTTTGCAGATCGAAAATGGGAAAACCCGCAGTAACTCGTTGAGTCTTCGGGGCGACTCGTCGAGTTTTCCCCATGTCTCAACATAACCAGTCCAATCCAAACCTCCAAACTACAGATCCCGTCCCTTAAGACCGAAATACCATGTAAAGTTGCAAACTATACATGCATGCATGGCCTTAAATGGCTTAAACACTAATGCTAGGGTTCAGACAATGTTTAGGACATGGAAAAGGGCCTAGGCTATGTAAAAGGGGAAACTTTATGTCATTGAAGACCTAGAGGCGTCCAGATCTGAAACCTTATCCTCATGATAAGTTCCAATCCAGGAATGACATCATTATGCACCAAAAGTGACCATTTACTTCCATAAAATGAGATCTAAGCAACTAAAGATCAAGATAGCGACTTTATACCTCAAGATGACAGAGTAGATGTCGGATCTACTGCTTCTCTCTTTACTCCTCCTTCTTCAAGCTTCAAAATCCTTCACAACCACACCAAAATCACACTCCAAAGCTCTCTCACACACTCAAGAAGGTATAAGGATCAAACTAGGGTTTCTCTGGGCTGTAAGAACAATGAAAGATGCTACAAATGAGCCATAAGTTCTATAAATACAGTACAAATCCCTGAAAATTAGAGTTTCTCTTTACAGCGTCTACTCGCCGAGTCGGGGCCTTCCAACTCATCAAGTAGACCCTAAGTCCCGCGTCCAAAAATCGATCTCTACTCGTCAATTTGGGCTCCCCAACTAGTCGAGTCCCAGTACAAAACTCTAAAAAAAATTAAAAATTAAATGATGCCTGGAACAAGCATTACAACTCATTACAAACATTGTTTTAACTGTTGTTATATATACAAAGAAAATACTTTTTGGATTTTTTAAAAGTATTAATGTGGTTAGCAGAAAACGTGTAATAGTTACCAACCTTTGTGTTGACCCTCAAACTTACATGTATTCTCATGAAATCATTAGACAAGCTTTCAGACAAAAGATTGGTCATGGAATATAGACGATCTAGCTATCTAGTTTTTGTTATCTGCTTACTTGTTTAAGGCAACTACTGTACTATTATTATCTGTAAGAACCCTATATGCAAACTTAATGATGAAATGTAAATGTTGTTTTGTTTATCGTTGTGTTTGTGCTATATATTCAGTTTATCTGTGATCCATGAACTTAGTCGCACTCCTGACATGTCCCGCATCGATCGAGGGTGTGACAGTAGAGGTTAGAGTCCCCACCACCTCCTGTCATCTATGTATCAACGACATTGATTGCATAAAATTTCCTCGTTGTTTTCTCGTTTGTCCATGAGGTAATGTCGGTCCTTAATTGGTGTGCTATCTTGAGGCACTTGTCCAATCGGTTACGAAGATTCTTAAATTTGCTGCCAATTGGGGCGTTGTCCTAAGAAGAGAAAGGTGTTCCTTGACATTACCTATAGGTACCCTAGAGCATTTGGAAAGGACGTAACGATAAGTTTTCAACAAGATTCACTGTACTCCTTCAAAAACGATGGTTACATCATCACTGTGGTTTTCAATTGGGTTAACTTTAGGGATAATTTTCATATTTGTAAGTGGGCTTAGTAGGTTTGTTGCGCGTTCATCATTTTGTAAAACTCTTTGTTGTTTCCTCTATGCCTTACCCTTTTTCTCTTCGACAAGGTTTTTATGCATTTATATATTTTGCCGTTTCCAAAAAGAAATTAATTAAAAAAGTGGGGTAACTGGCTGACAAAAATAATTGACTTTAATTTGAAACTAAAATTCTAACACTACAACACTTGAGATTCGAGCTACTCACCATGTGTGCAAATATACCACTTGATAAAACGGTTATTACGACAATAAAATTTTCTAACATATTACGTTAATATTTCATTTGATTTTCATAGTTCGATAATTTATAAGTACAAAAACTATTTTATATGATTGCTAAATGCATAGTACAGATTCCGAATTTGACCAAGTTCAACGATTTTGAACATTTGAAAATCGAATGATGCATTGATTACTGTTAAAACCCGCGTTCAATTTTCTACGCTTAATGCTTGTACAAATCTCGCTTTCGTTGCTTGTACATTGATTGTCAACAACACTAATTGACTCACTTGTATCCGATACCATGTCCCGAATTACACCTAAGCATTCCTCCAAGCTTTCCTATAGTCAAGAACCCACATGAATGAAAATGTAGTATATTACTTATATATTGGTAGCAAAAGTAAAGTTCATTGCCTTTTTTTTTTTAAGAATTTAAAAACATCAAGATAGCTTACTTTGTTTAGATATTTACAAGAGGAAATTGCAGCTTTGAATTGAGAATGTTGAAGAGGAAGGATGAGATCTTGAGATGCATGAAGAAGAGCAGATGCTGCAATCACTGATGGTCTAAACTCTAATAACTTATTTTCTGTTATAAAAAGGAAAAAGAAAAAACGAAAATTATGAACAATACATTAATTGAACTTTATGAAATATATATATTCCATCTGATAGATAAAGGGAAGAACAAAGGGACAATACAACGGAGATTTATTAAATTTTCTCCAGCCTTTTTCGCTATTTATGTCAGGTTATCAAATAAAGATTGCACATTAGCTGATATGATAATGATAATTAAAAATTATTCAAGAAATGCAAGTTGCAATCTGCCTATTATGTGGTTAATGAAATGTGGAAAAATCAAGTCAGAGTTTCAAAAAAAACTGAAAAAAGAAATGTGCAGAAATTAAGGTGATTGGTATTACCACAAGGAGATCTCAATAAGATCTGTGAAGCTCGATCTTTAATAGCGTTTGATAAGCATGGATCTTGGAGCTGGAACAACGAAAGGAAGAAATACAGGAACGAAAATGGTGTAATTGATCGCATTCGCCATTTAAGAGAGGAGAGAATCAGAACCTCCATTCGACTAATTGATTTTGCATCGTAAATTGAACATTCGTATCCCTAAATCCATCAACATTGCAACATAATTACAGAAACTCCTTCGATTTTAACCAACACACACGTCAAATCGACTCACCTGCAACTTAGGAGTAGCTAAATCGTCGATCTTCATTTTTACAGCGAGAGAAAGGCACGAAATCGCCACAAGCCCAACGATCCAAGGCTTCTCTTGATTCTACAACATTAATATCACACAAAAAAAAACACACACAATTTAGCATCGTTTGTCAATCAAAAGCGTACAATTAAACAAAAAGCACTTCGTTCTTACCACAATTTTTTGAGTAGAGAAGAATCGATCCATGTAATTAATTGCGAGATAAGTTACGAACGGATCCAAATTTTCAGAAAACTGCGTCATTACAACAAAAGATTGAACAAATCAAAACCAGAAAACCAACACGAAGCATCAAATTACACCGGAATTAAGTCGACACCTTCGTAATAACCGTCAACGCTTCCCGGCGAAAATTGGCGGGAAAATTGTGAAGAACGAGAACAGATTCATCGGCAAACAGAGACGGAACTGTATCGGTTTGATGCTCTCTGAAGCTCGTCAATGGATTTTCAAGATCAAAGAAGAAATCCATTACATTTACAATATTTGTGAATATTTTTACCTTCGGACGACAGCCATTGAAGAAGTTGTATTAAATTTGGTTTCCGAAGAGAGTAAACAAAAGTGGAAGTGCAGGCATTTTTGGAAGAAAGTCCAGAACTTGTTCTTCAGTTTTCAATTCACCAGCTGTTATGTCGAATATATATATACATACCCATCTATGTCTACCCCACAAAGGTAAAGTCTTATCCTAGCATTAATATTTGTAACTCATGCAGTAAAACTTGTACACATCCATTAGCATTGTTTTATTTTTCGGATATTATGAGTTAGGAATATTGTCTTTAAAATAATAGAACGAGAATTTAGATAATTAAAAAACATCAAAATAAACATGTGATCTAATGAAAATAAAATATATACAACCAAAGAAAGACTTAACTCATGGTACTAATATTAATACAAATTAATCTTACTTTTCACTTAATTTTTATAAATTTTTTTTTTGAAGAAATTAAAACATATGTAGTCTTACTGGATAGCTCGACAAATCAAAATAATAGTTATAATATATACAGGTTTTATTTGTTTGGAAAACTAGTTTATTTTTTTGCTTAAATAATAATTTAGGAAATTTATTATTATTATTATTATTATTATTATTATTATTATTATTATTATTAGATAAAATTAAAAAAATAATCACTATAGTTTATCATTTTCTTTTATTTCATATACTATTCAAGTATTTTTAAAATAATAATAATAATAGCAATAAATTATTATTATTATTATTATTATTATTATTATTATTACAAAATTAAAACCTTTGGATTTTTGCAAATTTGACCGAAAATAATAGCATAACCATATCTACAATTTGTTAAAAATAATCATTATGATTTACAATTAAAACCAAACAAACTAAACCAGATTAAAATCACAATAGTTATATTTTTAATAAGTTTGGAACATATTAAAAGAAAATATAAGACCAGGGGCACCATTCAAGTAATTTTGTCTATTATTATTATTATTATTATTATTATTATTATTATTATTATTTTATATATATATATATATATATATATATATATATATATATATATATATATATATATATATATATTAAGATTGTGAAAAAATTTAATAGTAAAGTGGAGGATCTTTGTCTCATTTGGTCCCTGTAGTTTTGTATAAATGTTAAAAAAAACGTCTCATTTTGTTTTTGGGCAGTAATTGTCCTCTATTTATTGATATATGTTAAACTGCATCTCATTTTTGTGTGTCTTTTTTTTGTCATAATGTAGATTGTTGGTGGACACGTGGTTGGTTGTGTACCAGGTTTACCACCAGGCTTACCAGATGTGATCTACCGTTTCCTTAGGAAGTGATACTTGTTCTGTACACGTGACCACCCAATATATGCCCTAAATTCATTGGACCTAAAAAGCTTTGTTGACTTCCAATGTCCACACTGCTCTCCTTCACCTTCATTCTCTCACTACCTGCCTCATCCGTTGTTTGCGACTCTGGGATGCATTTTTACTCCTTCAACGACATATGCTCCGCTCCTTTTTCCGTAAATTGATTGAAAGAATTGTTGGGTGCTACCGTCAACCTTCTTCTACCTTTGAAACAAAAAAATAAGGCCTCTTCTTCCACAATATACAGTTCACAGTCTCTCCACCGTCTCTCTACAATCATCGGCCTACGCCACCTCCGGTGAGTTAGCTACAATGGCAAGTCCTGAACTAATTTTCTTGGTTACAAATTCTTAAACTTCAAATTTTTAGGGTATGTGCTAATCCTCACTTTGTATCTATTTGGATTTGGTTCGTTCGCGCCTCACTGTTACCAGGAATTGAGAGGGAAGGGGAAAGACGAAGTGAGAGATTGAGGGTCAGTCGAAGAACAGGTAAAAGTTGGAGCTAAGTGGTTTTCTGGATTATTCGATGCATATTATTCTTCATCATCTGCTCCGCCTCCTTCTCTAACTTCTCTTTCTTTTGGAAAAAGGATCTGTATCAACTTCAATCGACTCTTTCTTTTTCCACCTACTCCGTATTTTTTCTGTCTTCTCTATTTTGTTTTTGATATTGGAACTTTCTCTTCTTATCAACTTTGCTCACCATATGTTCAATGAAATGCTTTTCAGTCATTCATAACGATTGTAAGAAACTCATGACTCTGTAATTGGTATATTTCTCAATTTTTTTATTCATTTTATAGGGTTTAGACTCCAATTAACCATACAGAACAAACGGGATATTTATTTACCCTTTCTCCTTCATTCTTCCTATTAATGGGATTTACTTAAATAGTTGTTGAAATGAAACAGGTGATAAGCAAGTCTGAATTTCGGACTGAGTAATCAATTTACCTGATCAATGGGCAACTCAATTTTTACAATTGAGTTGGTTACTCATATTGAGGTATCTTTTACCTTTGCTTTCTGATGTAGAGATGTTTGTTAATGGTTTCACAACATATTTGAATCTCTAATTACAATTTCAAGGACATGGTAGTTTAAATGAATATCTAAACCTAAATACTCTATCTTCTCCAAATCTTAGTGCTATGTGGGTTGTAACTACAAGCATTTAATAGGGAGAAACAAAAGTAATTGGATGAGAATTTACAATTGTGTCCTCAGGTTGTTAATCGAAAAATGAGTATGGACTTGAAGTCGATATATGGAGTCTTGGTTGCACTGTGTTGGAGATGTTAACAACACAAATTCCATACTCTCGCTTGGAAGGGGTACACTAAATAAAAATAATAGAAAATATATCTTGATTCTTTTGATATTTTGTTTATAAATTTATAATTTATAATTGTTGTAATCGGAGAAACAGTAGCCAGCCAAATCACCCAAGAACTGGTACTGTGAATACCACAAAAGTAAGACGCATGATACAACTAATTGTTCAATATTAAAAAAAGAAATGGACGAGAAATAGCTCAAAGGGGATTTTGTAGAAATAACGTGAAGCTTGCGTGCCAAATTTGACGCCAAAAACGCTAAAAATATGCCTCGCGAGGGGGTCCAGCCTAAGGAGATATTCATGATACGTAGTAAGAGAAGCAGGGAAGAGCGACAAAGGGAGCAAGGGACTACCAGGACCTCGATACGTACACTCACATTCTCTGTACAAGACCCCCTCCCGGAAGGATGGAGGGACGATAACCCACTAGTAATCCAAGCCTCCATCAGTGATGTAACTATCCACGAGGTCTACATTGACACGGGAAGTTCGACGGATATCATCTATGAGCACTGTTTCAGGCTTCTCCCAAACCGTTGGAAAGACAACCTACGGCCTATGACTGGGAGGTTGGTCGGATTCACCGCTAGGCACAATTCACCTTCCTTTGACCGTAACTAGCCACGATAAGCAATGTAAGAAAACCGCATTGATTGACTTTGTGGTCATCCGACATTCGGCGAAGCACAACATCATTCTAGGCAGAACAACTCAATTAAAGCTAGGGGCGGTCCCATCAACCATGCATAGGGTCATGAAGTTTGATACTCCAATGGGTGCAGCTACTGTACTGGCCACTCAAGCTAAAGAATTGCAATTGTTCACAATCATGAAACCAGCAGAGATAACTAAAGAGGCCAATACATGATCCTGCGAAAGGAAAGGAAGTGATCAATGAGAGACACCCTGACCAGCCAATCAGTATTGGGCGCGATCTCCCAAGTCACATAAGAAGAGCGATGGTCGATTTGCTCAACCGATATAAACACGTGTTTGCATGGACCCCTACGGACATGGTGGGGTAGAAAGGAAAATCATTGAGCACAAACTCGTAATGAAACCGGGAGAAAAGGAGGTTAAGAAGAAGAAAAGGGTCCAAGGAGGGGATCAGAATAGGGAAATCAACGCAGAGGTGGCCAAACTAGCAGAAGCTGGAATAGTAAGGGAAACAATATTCCCAAAATGGATAGCCAATCAAGTTATGATCCTCAAGCAAGATGGGTCATGGCGCATGTGCATAGAATTTTCCGACGTAAACAAAGTATGACCTAAAGACTGTTACCCCCTCCCGGAAATTGACCAGAAGGTGGAGTCATTGCAAGGATTTAATCTAAAGTGCTTTTTAGATGCATATAAAGGGTACCATCAGATCTTGATGAGAAAATAAGACGAGGAAAAAATATCTTTTTACACGGATCATGGCACTTTCTGTTACACCAAGATGCCTTTTGGTCTAAAGAATGCAGGGGATACGTATCAACTCCTGGTCCACTCAATCTATGCCAAACAAATTGGGAGAAATATTAAAGTGTACGTGGACGACATAGTGATCAAGAGTTCACACGAAGACAAAATGTTGCAAGACATCGAGGAGACCATCCAAACCCTAGAAGGGTGAAGATGAAGCTGAACCTAGCCAAATGCACGTTTGGGGTGGAAGAAGGGAAGTTCTTGGGGTATTATGTCACCAGGCAGGGTATCCAGCCCAACCCGACCAAGGTGGATGAGTTCATCGAAATGCCAACCCCAGGCACCCTTAGAGACACGCAGGGCCTAAATGGGAAGTTTACAACTCTGAGCAGGTTCATCTTGAAATCAACTGACAAGGCCATGCCGTTGTTCCACACGCTGAAAGGCTGCATCGAGAAGAGAAACTTCCAGTCGACGAACGAAGCAGAAGTAGCGCTCAAGAAAATCAAGGAAGCGCTACACAAGTTACCCACGCCGGCATGTCCCATCGCGGGAGAAACATTACAAATGTATCTTTTCACCTCAAACGTAGCGATATCCTTAGTATTGACTGTAGAAAGGGAAGGAGAATAGAGACCGGTATACTTTGTAAGGAGGGCACTACAAGGGCTAGAACTCAACTAACCCACCCTGGAAAAGTTAGTCCTGGCACTCATCTACGTGGCGCGGCGACTGAGGCGATATTTTCAATCACATCAGATCGAGGTTCTAACAAGCTGCCCCATCAAACGAATACTGACTAAACCGGAGACATCAGGTCAGTTGATGAAATGGGCAATTGAATTGAGAGAACATGACATAAGTTACCGCCCAAGGACGAGTATTAAGGGACAAGCGTTG